ACAATAAGTGTGTTGTTTCACTAGTATTTCTAAATCTTTAAAACCCATGTTTTTCTCTCCTTATGACAGTGGGCTCCTCCAGGCAAGTGTTGCTATCTAAAATGGATGAAATACAGTCAAAACTAAGTCTCTCTAGAAATGAACTAAGAAAAATTGGACTCTCCTTTGAGAACAAGGGGAGGGCAGGTAAAAAGGAAGAGTGTTCTGACCAAGGTTGAGGAGTATTACCTACCTATTGCCCTGTTTCTTCTTATCACGGGGATGACTCATACCTGACTTATACAAATGCTAAACTAAAGAGTACTTTTGTTAGGGAAATAACGTAGATATTCATAATCATGATGGGAATCTGAGAATTGGAGAAACTTCCCAATTTTCCATTTTACAGCATCCCACAACATTTCTGCCTTCAAGCATGGTTAAAGGACTCAAATCTGTATTTCTGAAAATATCATAAACAATTCATATGCATTCAGAATCTCTATCTGTTATATCTTATTGCATAAAAAAAATCTGTCACTAATTCCACCTTTTACTTCCTTTAATACCTTAGGCCTGGATAGCAAAGCAATGAGCTGAATGTGATCTGGTCCAGGTGTTCAAGATCTTGCTCCAAAAATGTCTTGGTTCTACAATATTTGTACATGCACAGTCCTCAGCTTCTAAATCCCTTGATATCTGTAATACTGAACCTGGTATTTAAGAAAAATGTGCGCTGTATGTCTCAAGGGGAATATTTCAGAACATTAGTGACACAGGTGCTTGTGTAGCAGGCAAGTTAACCACGATGGGAGGAGGGCAAAGAGGAGATGCTTTCCACTCTTACTGCTGTGTGGTGATACTTAAATAAGGGAACTATTCCATGGATTTGTATCTATGTGTGTGCTTGTGTGAGTGTGTATTCAACGGAGAGGAATTAAAATGAACACAAATGAATTTTAATAAAAGTGAATGATTTTAGTATTTGTTGCAAAGTATTGCTTCTTTCTAAGGAAGGCCTTGTGGGACACATGTTGAAAGCACTTAAGTAGTGCATGTTTCAGTGATTCACACATCCATCTAATTTTTCATTTGTTTATTTCTTTAAATCTCTCTAAATAACATCATTGAGGACTTAGTACTTCTCAAGTCATGCTGGGAATTGTGCAAAATCAGATAACATATGCCTTGGTTTTCAGGAAGTTTACTTTTAACTGAAGTTGATGGTGAGTATTATGGCATTCTAAAGCTTCATCAAAGGCTCAGACTTGTCATGCGTACTGATTAACTGAGGAATAATCAGATGCCTAAACATTACGATAGTAATAATGATGATTACAATAGTAGCAATAATGAAACACAGCGAATGGTTTTAAGTTTATATCCCTTCAATTAAATAATAAAAGTAATGTCCTATATTTTGATGAATTTGTAAAAGTAAAAATGACTTTGGGAAGAGATAAAAAGCACCATTAAATTCTGTAATATGGAGGTAACGTGATATAGTTCTTTTCTGTTAAATATCTCTCTACCAGTCTATCACATTCCTTAATGTACATCAGCCATATATGTTTTTGACAAAAAGCTTGGACGACATTAAAACATAAAGACTGATATTTTCTTGGACATCCAAGGGTTTTTTTAAATTATTATACATGAAATGGTACATTAAATAATATACATACATAGAGCATTTTTAGCTCAATTTTTTCCACCTTTTATTTTTTTAAGATGAGACTCACACAACATTATTTTTTATTTTTTAACAATTTTAAAGTGTGTGATTCAGTGCTTTTTAGTACATTCACAATAGTGTGTAATCATTGCTTCTGCCTAATTCCGGAACATTCCCATTACATAAAAGGGAAGGCCTGTACTCATTAAGCATCGCTTTCTCTTGTCTCTTCCTCTCAGCCCATGACAAACGCTAATTTGTATTCTGTTCTATGAACTTACCTATTCTAGACATTTCATATAAATGGAAGCACAAAATATGTACCATTTTTTTCACATAGGATGTTTCAAAGTTCCTCCATGTTGTTGCATGTATAGGTCCTTTATTTCTTTGTGTTAGTAAATAACTATCCATTTTATGGATATAAATCATTGTGGTATTTGTGTGTCAAGTTGACTGCTACAGGATTCCCAGATTAAACATTATTTTTGGGTGTGTCTGGGGTGTGTGTTGGAGTTTATCTAAGCTACCTCATGGTATTGCTGCCTCTGCATCCACTGGTTTGACCCATGGGGGCCTCACTGACACTTAGCACTCCCTTATAAGCACATGTCTGCAGATAACAGCCCGCAGAATCATGAGTAGCTGTAAGTTCCTGATGTGACTCCTTCAACAGCCCTTGTGATCAACAGTCTCTCCCACCTCCCACAGGGCCTTCCCCTTGTGCACCCTTTAGATAAAACCCTGTAGAGTTTACCAAAAAGTTCAAACTGATCGATCTGGCATTAGACCCCCAAATTCGTGTGATTCGCTTTATTACCATATTTGATCTGAAACCAAATCTGCAATATCTCCAACATACATATGCTTGTATTATTTGGCGATAAAGAGAAATGAAATACTGATACACACTACAACATGAATGAAACTTGAAAACTTTATGTAAGGTCAAAGAAGCCGGAGACAAATAGTACAATCTGTAGTATTTCATACATATAAAAAGTTAATAGACAAATCCATAGAACAAAAGGAAATTTTTGATTGCAAGAGGCTGGAGAAAAATGGTGACTGCTTAAAATGTATGAGCTTTTTTTGAAGGGTAGTAATGATTAAAATGTTCTGAAGTTAGATAGTGGTGATGGTTGCACAGCTTTGTGAACCTGCTGAATTATACATTTAAAATGATCAAAAGGGTAAATTCTGTTATGTGACTTTTACCACAATTTTAAAATAATGCCAGTTATCTCTTACTGAAATTCAGCCATTTCTTCTTGATTAAGCATTCCCCTAATTTCTGCAAGCTTTCAGTTAAAATTAAGAATTATGAGAAAGCTGATTCTAACAGACATTTTCCAGTTTCTCCATTCCTTTTATTAGGGACAAACTTTTTAATATTCCTACTTTGCAATTTTTTTGATGTCATTCACTGTTCTATGATTTTTGTGTAAATATAAGTATTCATTGTTCTGGGATAAATATCCAGGATTGTAACTGCTAAGTTGTAATAGTTCCAGATTTGTGATTTTAAGAAAATTTTCAAAATGTTTTCCAGAGTGGCTGAACCATTTTACATTCCCACCAGTAATGTATTATTAATTCAGTCTCTACATACCCTTGCCAGAATTTCATGTTGTTATTGTATTTCATTTTATCCATTCTCATGGTTGTGTAGTGAAATTCTATTTTTATTTTAATTTGTATTTGTGTATAGATAATGATGTTGAACATATTTTATGTGCATATTTGCCATTTATATGTTCTTACCATGAAATGTTCATTTTTTGTCCATTTTCTAACAATGCACAAGAGTAGCAATTTCTCCATATCCTCAGCAGCAAAAGTTTGTTTGCTTTTATTGTTGCTATCCTAACCGGATGTGAGATGATATCTCATTGTAGTGTTTGTGTTTTTATGATGATTCATGATTTTGAGCATCTTCTTATATATCTGTTAGCCATTTGTATGCCTTTCTGCTAAACAAGAGTGAAGAAAATCATTAAATAGATGTATCTGAAGTAAAAAAAAACTGGCACTGTTTCAAGATATTGGGATTGCAAAATTGCATTTCTTCTTTTTTTTTTTTTCAGAATTGCATCCCTTATTCCTGAGGTAGTGTTAGATGAAGCTAGAAAGGAGCCTACTTAATTTGCTGCAATGGGAGTTATTACTGAAACTGACAAAAGCAATTTCAGGTAATGAATGGGATGACAGAAAGACAAACTAGGGCAAGAGTGATTTCAAGTTGAGAAAGTAAAGGGAGAGAAGGTAGACAACTTGTTCTAGAAGTTTTGAGGTAAGCAGAGAGAAAAGGGACAGCACATGGAGGGTAATTACAGTTTAAGGGGTGGGATTGTTTTGTAGGATTTTACAAGATAGTAAAAAGGAAGTAATTGAATAATTAAATGCAATTTGATGGGTATAATTAACTAAACTGGGGAGAAACAATGTGTATTTTTTTCAGTTGGACCAAGAGATGAGTAAAAATTCAATTTAGTCTAAATTCCTTACATATAATTGGCTTAGTTCAGGAGACACTAATGAAAAATACCATTTCCTTCATTCTTTCATGGGTTTATTAATTTAAAAGAATCTTAACTATCAGAAAGAGAGATTTAATTTTATTATATTCCCAATTGGAAATAGGTTGAAACAAGCTGATTTTGATTCCCTCTCAGATTGTTATAATAAAAGTTATAGTATTTTTTACTTTTAGTTAAGAGACTTATGTGTCTCACCCTCCAGATTGTGTGCTTTCAAATGCTCTTTTAAAGGAAACTGGATATCAAATTAGTCAGTAGTGAAGTAGTGCGTGTGGCCTAGTTAGGAGAGACATATTCAGACAAATAATAACATTATCATAAAGTGCCCAGAAACTTAAATTCATCATATTAATGACTTCATAGGATACTTTCTAGCTTTTCCTTTAGGAAGAAGTCATTGGGAATAAAAAGAGGTATTTGGTAGTGATTAAAAATATAGATCACATGTTTTCCAGGGAAAAGTCACAACTGGCTCTCTATCTGGAGATTAAAATCAATATTTAGAATCATCTGCTTTCATTTTATTCACCTTTTTTATGAAAAAGAATCTGATTTGTTCAAGTAAACTTGGGTTAATTAGTAGACTAATCCTTCACAGCAATGAGAAAAAGAGAAATTCATAGAAAGGCTGGTGGACATTCAGGTGATACTGAGATTCTCATGACAGGGCATGTATTTGGAAATGCACTGCTAGAAACAAACTCCATTTTAGTGACCAAAACAGCACTTGCAGGAAGATGTTATCAGCTCCTGCCTAAATAGCAACTGAAAGTAATCTTTATCTTCTCTCTCTTGGGAATGTCCACTCATATGCTATGGGATTTGGTGTCCTTAGGACTTGAAAGGATCCTTAGGACACAGTCTCGTATCTGCTTGGTTTTCACCCCATAGACAGCAGGATTCATAGTGGGAGGCAAGAGCAGGTAAATATTGGCCATAATGATGTGGCAAGAGGGAGGGATTGTGTGGCCCCCAAAGCGGTGGGAAAAGAAGGAGAAGAAAGCTGGACTGTAGGAAAAAACAATAGCACAGATGTGGGCAGTGCAGGTGCTGAAGGCCTTCTGCCGAGCATCTGCTGAGGAGAGGCTGACCACTGCCTGGAGGATCAT